GAAATGAAAGGTTAAACTGCAAAGTCCAGGAAAGATGTTGATCCTTCATGGAAATTATAGTGTTGGGTACAAGCACAAATATTGCAAGAAAAAGTCCAGCTTTTTTGTTTTGTTTCTCTCCTGCTTTTTTTGATGAACTTGTGAGCACATATTACTAGAAGCACAAACTGAAGCTTCACTCTTACTTCAATTTTTGGCGTTTTTTCATACATCTTAATTTAGTTTGTACTGCAGTGTTTCATAGCAAAATTAGGCTTGAGTTTTATCAAAAGATTCACCAATCAGGCTTTCCCAAAGTGATATTGACTTTTGTTTTCCTTGAGGTCTGACTGCATATAAAGTTGGAAGTGTTACGTTTAAGATATTTTATTGGGATGGTTGTTTTACGGTGCACGCAATTTTTGGTAAGCTTCATAGCCTAGATTCCTTCACAACTGAGCTGGCGCATCACAATTGGCAAACATTAGCAATTGGGTAAAATCAGATCTAATTGTTTAAAACCTAAACATTGTTCAAGCAACCATTTCTTAATAGATGAGGGTCCAAAAACTTTGTAAAGCATAGAACAAGGGACTGTATTTTACCAAGCTAGGTCAGACAACAAAGAAAAAGCATAAATGTACATTTTTTAAAGCATGAAAATATTAGTTTTAATGATACAACAGACCTGTGAAGTTTCCTCTGCAGACAAACCTTTCTGTTGCCCTTATTCCTCAGCAGCTGTTTCACATGGGTGGCATGTGAGAACGAACATGTTCACAGTATTTGCTCTGGATATCTTGTGAATGTTTTCCTCCCAGTCATTTAGTAAAAAACTCAAAAAAAAAAACAAAATAAAACATAGCGGCAAATCTTCTGCAGCATGCTGTTTAGATTTGTAGCTTTACACTTTTTTCTGCTGACCTCTATGTTGCTTTTCACTCTGCTGTTGATATTTCAGACAAGATAGGGTTTACTTTTTCTCAAACACGATTTGATTAATGTCATGTAATAAGAGATATTTCCATACAAAAGCCAATCAGAGGAAATGTGAGTCTCTAAACAAAGAAAACCTCTAACAGCACACGCTTTAGATTCCTGCAGTGTACTCGACTTGTGATAAATAAGTGGGGTAGTTCTTGTCAACATTTAAAAAATGAGGTGTCTCTATGAATGTGCATGGGTGTAAGACATTAGTGTAAGGCTTTAGTGTCCTGTAAAGAAGTGTAATCGTGACAGTCGCTTGTTATTTTTCACTTGATGAAACATGAGACAACAGACTGTAACTTTTACTAAAGATAATGCTTTCAAATAAAAAAATCACCTCTTCTCTTGTTGTAGTTGGAACCTAAATATGTATAAAAAACAAAGAAAATGAGTAGGTATTGGGCAAAACAAGAATTTAATTAACTTAAAGATATCAAACCAAGTAATTTTCACTAAACTGGGATTAATTTTAAGGTTATCTATTCTGAAAGGCAAATTAAAGCCATTTATGGTGTTTTTTCTCTTCCAACTAATCAGGAATAGCATTCTTTTCATCATCCACTGTACCCAGTCCCAACACACAGCCAGCGCCTCCCCAGATGACTCTACAGATCTCATAACAATTATTACTTCAAATACACAGTATCCCACAAGAAACTCCAGGGAGAGAGAATCATTTCATTGTTTCTTCCCCCGTTATCCATCTGCCCTCGTTCAGCATTAGCTCAAACACAACAAGCGTTTATGGAATACAACAAGGTCCAACTGCAGATTGCGCGCCGCCTTACAATCCGCACCTTGTTTCGCAGGAGAACGGGCAGCCGTGCGTTCGGCTCGCAGTGCGACAGCAGCTGAGGTGAAAAGACAAGCAACAGATTTTTCATTTGTGACTACAAAGGCTGGGCCATTCCCCCACTTACCACGCAGGGAGAACTGGTGCTGAGGCGGCTTCTCTGAGCTCATCAACACGACAAAGACGAGAGGGAGAATGCAGCCTTGTTCTGCAAAGGTTAACCTCGAGGGGACCTAACAACTTCAAGCTTCTCATTTGATGCTTCCACCAAACACTCGTCACAGAGGATTGAGGGCCTCTGGATTCCCCTGGATTTAACCTCTAATATCTAAGGTCATGCCCCCTGAACCTCCGCCAATAAAGCCAGTGATGGCACTTGTGAGTTCAAACACTCACCCATTCCCCTTTTCTTTCTTTGGGCATCTTATGTCTGGGTGTCTGTGGCATGTCCTGGGAAAACTTATCTGCCATGGCAAAAAAACTGCTTTGTATATATATTTTTTTAACTCTGATTATAAAACATAATAAATAAGAGATGCACCACAGATACCAATTTCTATTTATCTTAGCGCTATAACACATGGGAGAAAAAACCACTAGATTTTTGGGATTTTGAAACACTGCCTTCATAAAAGACCTTAAGAAAGTCGGGACTTATCAGACAAGAAACACATAATCAGTGCATCTCTAATAGGGAACCCACTTCTAAAATATAAATAAATGGTGGGAAAGGTAGAGTAAATCTCAAATACCAAAAACTCACCTGGTTTAAATGCAAACATTGAATAAAAATGAAAACTACTGTAACACAGAGAGATACAGATTTCTAATTTTCATTGACGTATAACCTGCCAATTATAATTTCTTTTTTTTTGTTGTTCAAGTTACTATAAAGCACAAAACAGTAAAGAAAACGTGCTGCATGGTCTTCTGCAAAGGTTGTAGTTTTGAATCTAATAGAAAAAAAAGAGTGAAATAGCAATAGTTATTCCAGTTATTCATCAAAGTATTTGCCCCTAACCTTTATATGAGTTTCAGTTAATTAAAAAGGAAATGCATTTAAATACATGCTTTGACTGAAAATTGTATGGGTTCTTACATTCCAGGTATTTATTGTCAAGATAATAAAATGTCATTTTTCAGTTTTTTGTTTTTGGCCAATTAAACAACATTTGTTTAAGAAACTATAATTAGTAATTATTTTCAATGGAGGCTGCTTGATTTAAGAAACCAGTCTTCACTTCTTTCTTAATTAATTTAGCTTATCAGAAAAAAAAAAACTCCATCCAAATATAATTTCATGTAGGATCAAGGCGTAATCTGCGATCAGCACTCCTCCTACTGCTACGCCACTACTGTGACAGGCGTGTGTGAGCTTATGTGCAAGTCTTACAGCTTGCTAAATCTGAGTGCAACACTGATTTATGCTGTGTTGGGCCCCAAAAACGACTCCCAGGGGTCCTCCTCTTGCCTCTCACTCCCTCCGTCTCAAATATCTGTGTGAACTATATAATGCCTTTCAGTTGTCTCAGTTTATTTCATTTAATTTGACTGGCTGGATTGTGACCCCCCTGTGATAATGCAGCTTTAAAGGCTGTCTCCCCCCCACCCTTATGAATTATCAATAAAAAAGTCCATTTGAATTATAATAAATTCAACACTGAATTTCTTATGACTTTAATTATATAGGGGCTATGTGTGCAGTTTCTTCTGATTTATTGAAAACCACAGCGTTTCTTGTAGGCAGATCTGTTCATGAATTTTATTCATATTATTATTATGCTGCTGCAGTGAAACTATAAGCTATGCGGTTTTCCCTATGGGCCTCCTTTCCAGAAGGAGCATGCACAATCCAAAAAGTGGTCCAGTTATTACACTGAGTGCAACAGAAAACTTGAATAGGAACAAGAAATGCACTGATAGAACACCCAGAAATTGGAATCGGCCAATTTCCCTAGACTAGATTTGATCAGCAATTGGCAGGTTAAATGCTGACAAATTAACTTTTTTCCCTCTGGCCAAGAAAAACTTTGATTGGAACCTTTAATAGAAACCAACCAATAGAAAAGTTTAAAAAAAAATAGTGGAAAAACATTACAGAAGAGTTTTAGAACCAAACTCTAAGTAGATATGAAGAATACTGGCATATATAAACTAATCAAGCTTTCTCAAACCCAACAACTTCTTTTTAGATTTGTAAATATTAGATAAAATTTAATCAATGTGCAGTAAGCCTAGAGGCTGAAGTAGTATAAAGTTTCTAGGTTTGATCATTTAAAAGAACAAGAATGAATAATTTTTTTTCATTACAGGATTTTCCAATCATTTATTTGGAGCCAAAATATGGAACAGATATAAAAATATGTCATTTTGCGCATTACACAATTGAATATTTACAGCTGATAACTTTTAATTTGTAGTACGACCTCTCAATTCTAATTTTGACTAATTCCATTTTGTCCAAATACAATATGACATAAATGACATCAGTTACCACAGTCTGAGTGCAAAGTACATGCTGCTGGATATTGATTTATAGCCAATAAATCTCAATTTTGATGCATTACTTAATGTAATGTTTTGATTGTTGATTCTACATTGTGTTGCTGTCTTTATGATTTAAAGTACTTTGAAATGCCTTGCTGCTGAAATGTGCTATACAAATAAAATTTTATATTTTTTTATTTTGAATTAATTTATTGCAAAAAAGCAGATTTTTTTTTTTTTTTTAAGAAAATATCGGCTGATTCCGAGCTCTGATCGATTGATTGGTGCATCTCCGGTGGTATAATGTCGCAGCCTGCCTAGAGAAGCTGATACAGAGCACAAGGTTGGTCAAACTGCGAAACATAATCTCTGTAAACCCTTACACAGATCCTTGCTCTCGATCCATCCTAATTTTTTTCACCTACTTGTTTTACATCGTTTAGGACACGGTGCACCCACTCTTTCTTTTTGCACCAGGACTTTTCCATCTCCCATATGCATCAGCCTCCAAATCCGCACTGAGCGATTTTGTTGAGACGGGTTGTGAACCCTTTCTGAAGCCGAGGCGCAGGTAGCGCGCCGCGCTGCACGAAGCTCCGCTTCCAGCGGGGACAGATGCGAGCAAACCCCGCTGAGTCAGAACAACATCCACCGCCTGCGCTCCGACTGATCGCCGCGGCGCCCCGCATTACAGGACTTCTCCGTTCACGCTGCGCGGCACACTGGCAGATATTACGCTGAAATGTAACCTTACCATTCTGAAGACATGTCCGCTGTCGCAGGCCCGTCCCGTTAACAATTCACAAAATGAGTCTGGTGAAGCCTTCTTCACTTGGTGTCCTTCTTCTTCTTCTCTCAGACTGGTTTTGATAGTAACCAGAGCAGGCGAGCGTATTTCCACTATACGACGCGGTACCGCTCGGCGCGGCAGAGAGCAGCTCTCCTGCTCCTCCTCCTCCTCCTCCTGCGCTTCCAAGGTGCTGCTGCCTCTGCTCCTGCTGCTGCTCACAGCGCACTCAGAGGGGCACACATGGACGAAGAGAGGCAGCCGTCCAAGACGCCCATTAACAAGCACAGCCCTGACGGAACCGCCGTGAAAATCCTCCGGGAGAAATATGCGAGATAGCCCCTCAAACACGGCACAGGGAGATAAGGTGACGCGCCAGCCGATACGCTGGGAAATGGTGAGCTGCGTGGTTTCCCCCCCACTCCCACTCCCACCCTCCTCCTCACGATTTACAATTACGAGTTTGGAGAGGGGATGAGTGAGCCACCGTGCGTGGTCGCCCCCTTTGGTAAAAGCGTCCAAAAATCCGCCCCATTTTTAAAATTATTTTAGAATATATGTCATAATCCTATAGCGGGATTTCAGAGTTCAGAGGAATGACTTTGCGATATTAACCTTCAGCGCATTATTTTTAATACGATTTCCCTCGGAATGAGCAATGAAAGGGTTTTCTTCTGAAGAAAATAAGCAAAAAACAAAAAAACAATCAAAAAGAGTCATTTTTAGACTATTTAAAACATGAATAAATGAATATTGTAAATTAGAAAATAATAGATGATTTAACTAAGCCTCACAGAAACACTAGACATCTCTACTTAGGGTTTAAGAAAAAGATGGGATCAGAGGAAAAACTTCCAGCTACCTTTTTAAATATTTTAAGGTGCCTAACAAGAAGTCAGACATCAGAGAGGCTATACCAGGGTTTTCAAAAATTAGGTTTTGAAACTGTTAAATGTTTGTCATTTCCATGGCTTAAAGTTGTTTTATTGACTGTTCGATATGTCTTAGAATAATATTTATTTATTATTGCCTCAATGGATTCTAGTTGTCAAAAAAACTGATAGTATTAGCAGAAATGTTATTTTTACTATTTTCTCCACTCTTTGTTTCAGAGCATAAATATAAGACATTTCAAAAGTAAGGCTAAAATTGTGTAAAACTTTTTTGATATTCTGTTAATTTTGAAAAAGCCATTTTGAAATTGTTTTGTTTCAATGAAACAAATCTTTAAAAATGATGGTAGTGATGGACCTAAGCACTTAGATAAGATATATTCACAGTTCAACCACAGCTCTAGCACTGTGGTTTTCAGTAGAGGAGATGTTAGTGTTATTCAGGATTTGACGCAACAAGCAGTTACGTAAATTTGCAGAGTTTTGGGGAAATTGTGTCAGTGATTTTACAGAAGAGCATAGGGTTCAGCATTTTCAAATGACAAACTCAACTTTTGATGAACTATGTGATGATGTGAGGCCTAGTGGAACCAGCTGTGCATTAATCAAGGGAGCCAGTAACAATTAAAAAAAAGTGCTTTGCTGCTGTATACAACCTGGCACGGTGTGAAACAAGTGTTTCCATTGCAGTTTTACAAAATATAAAATTTTTGACATGGCTGAAAAATTAGCTGCTGTAGATACTGGCATCTGGTGGGTATAAACATGTTTGAATAGTCCAACTTTTGCTGGTACTGCACATTAGCAAAACTGGTGTTTATGACTTTGCTTTATAGTTAGCACAGCTAACCTTTAGTTAGCGGTTCCCACCATTGTCCTGCCAACATGTCCTGACATATTGTAGGAAAATTTATGGGCACCTGGGCGCCTCCTGGTGGCCCATGGTTCTAAACAGAGGCCTGGTTTGCCTTAGCTAGTTTAAGATGAACTAATTTAATATGGGAGATTACCGAAAAGTGTTTTTTTTTATAAAATTGGTTCTATTGAGTCCATTTTAAAAGACAAGGTTCACATTTTCGACATTAAGCTGTGAAATTTATTTCACATTCTTTCCTGTAAAAGAGAATGCAAGTGTAATGATTTTAGCTCAGTTTCACCTAATTTAGAGATATATTGTTAAAAGTGTCTTTCTCCTCTTTTCTGATAGGTTTGATAATTACCTCTGTAAAATAAAAAACTTAATGAACCGATTGCAGGATTTTTAAAAAATCAATTATTTAATATTACATTGATAAATAAGTAGAGTGCATTCACATGCATTATGTTTGAGTATTAAACTTCAACAAAGTTCTTTTGTAAAGATCTTTAAACAGTTTTTCCCTCCGAACTATGATGGCCATACATTAGGTTAACGAGAACACCATCTGTCCTCTAATTGTCAGGTCAACCTCTTAAACCTAAATCCTCTGTCATATACTCATCTCCAGCTTCTAGTTTCTTCTTCTTGCTTAAAAAGGCTGGTCAAGGGTTCCTGGCCCTGGAAGTGTGGTTGGTCACCCAGAGAATAAGAGAGGGGCCATGTGTGGCCTCTAATTCACCACATTGTCTGCCAAAAAGCTAATCTTGGCCAGGCTCAGAGTCTCACTGCTCACAAGGCTGAGAGTGAATGAGTGAAAAGTTTAAATATGCTTTCAGATGTAAAACTGAAGACCTGCCTTCACATTGTGGGCTGGATCGTTGTGGGAATGTGAGATTTGCCGTTGACCCAGGCAACAAGAGGAAAGGGGCCCATTTCGGTTGGAAAAGCTGCTGCATTCAGGCTCATGTTTGCAGGTGGTGGGCTGTAATTCAATGGCTACACACCAATTTTCCTGCCAGCCAATGTTTGAGAAATAAATTGATGGCTCACAGTAGTAGTCTGTCGCCAGCCATCAATCAGGATTTATGGCATACAGAACATTATATATCAAGTCAACGTATGTAAAAGCCCTATAAAGTGACCTTCAAGATAAAGAAATTTCCATTCAAGCAGCAGGAAACCTCAATTTTAGTTCACTGTCTTATAAAAAAAAAAAAAAAAAAAAAAAAAAAACTCACCTCACTTTCAGAACCTCTGCAGGGTCTGAAGTTGTTTTAAAAGCATCACTGAGGTCATTATTATTATTGTGGCGATCTTTAAGGACTTTACAGAACAGCAACAAACCAACTGGGGAGCAGAAAGAGAGGCAGCACACATAGAGGAGCGCTAAGTAGATAAAGAGGTAGCCATTTCCCTCAGGAATCAGTTAAGACCAAACACTGAACTAAAGTGAAAGCAAACACCAGACTTACGTGTGCCAGGCTGCCGAAGGCAAAACTTCAAATAAATGTTGATTTTGCTCTGTGAATGTTGGGCGTGTAAATAACAACCGCATGCTAATACGCTTGATGTTGATGTGAAATGTGACATGTCAGAAGGATTACTCATTCTCCATGCCTCCAAAATACAGCTTTTATCCACAAACAATGTATTAAAATATTAAAATCCAATATTAACACTTAAAAAAAAATTAAACCAAAGCTGCAGCAAAGAATAGATCCACTGCATTGCAAAAGTATTCAACAATGATAAACTGCTTTGTCATATGTCAACTGTAAACTTCAATATATGTTATTTTTACATTATGTGAGATGTGACCAGCACAAATTAGTGTGAAGAGGACAATAAATGCTACATGACACCAATTGCAGTTGTCTGACCAATCTCTGATGGTCACAGATTCAGACTTTGGCTGACAACAGTTTTTTTGTTGTTGTTTGATCTAAAAAATTGCTAAATACAGAAAAGGCGCTAAGTTGGTAACGATGGGATAAGATCTGGTGGGTGGGTCTGTGGTTCTCTCTCACAGCCGAAAAGGGACAGCGGCTGATTTTCGGACTTTTGCAGAGTTAGATAAGATCTGTGGATAAGATCAGTTTGAAGTGCAAGTGTTGGCCAATCACTGGTCACTCAAAATTAAGGAAATTGAAGCAGCGACATATAAAACTGGTGTTCAGTTTTTGTACAGGGATTCAAAGTTTAAAGTTTAAGTCAAACCTAAATCCCTAGGCGGATTTAAGTTTCATTTAAATCACCAAGACACACTAAACATCTGCAAAAAGGCACTAAGGTCAGAAGAAACCAAGATCCATCTTTTCTTTCATCACCACTGTGAAACACGTTGATGGCAGAATAAATATGTGAGGACCAGCGAAACTCCAATGTGGTACCAGATTGTCTGTTTTAATGATCTTTGCTCTCTCCTTGTCTTATAAATATCACTTATGATTTTCTAATGTAAGACTTTGATGCTTTGCTGAATGCTAATTTAATCCACAAAAAGAGAGAAGTACAGAAAATTATACCAACAGTTGTCCTCATCTAGCCACACAGCTTATTCTTAATCAGCACTCCAGATGGAGATACAATTACCTGTTCACTGCATCAACAGTCATGTAATTTAACTCTCCATGGCTGTCTGCTTTCATAATCACCTTTGTCGTTTTTATTATTCAAACATACTGAACATATGGAAAGAGACTAAATGTGAAAAACCCATCTCTTAGTACATCTAAAAAAATTATATTACTTAAAAGTGCAATATTCTTTATCAGTCAGTGCAGAAAGTTAAACTCACACAGAATGTGTTTTGTCTCCTGTAATTCTTGACTTACAGATAAACACTCAAAACCCATTGTCAAAGAAATTAGAATATTGTGGTGAAGGTCATCCATGGGAACTCCTAGTGTCACTCTAATTAGCTAATTAACTCAAAATACCTGCAGAGGTTTCCTGAGCCTTTAAACTGTTTCTTACTCTGGGTAATAAGGAGACACAAAAGGTCATTGCTGACACAGAAGAAGCTGGCTGTTCACAAAGCTGTGTTTCCAAGCATGGTAAGAGAAAATTGAGTGGAAGAAAGAACTGTGGTAGAAGATTGTCATGTGAAATCCACTCAAGAGGAGCCACCCCACACAGACAAATACTGGACATGGCTACAAATGTGGCATTCTCAGTGCCAAGTCACAACTGAGACAGAGACATCTTCCCTGGGCTAACCAGGAAAGGAACGGGACTGTTGGGCAATGGTCCAGAATTCTGTTTTTAGATTAAAGTAATTTCTGCAGTTCATTTGGAAATCCAGGCTTCAGGGCCTGGAGGAAATGTAGCGAGGCACAGAGTCCAAGTTGGTTGAAGTCCAGTGGGAGGTTTTCACAGTTAGTGACGCTTTGGGGTCAGTGCTGGTTCTGGTACAGCAGGGATGTCAAACTCCAGTCCTCATGGGTAACTCTCCTGCTGATTTTAGATGTGCCATAGGTACAAGACACTGGAATGAAATGGCTTAATGTCCTCCACCTTATGTTGATAAGTTTTCCAGAGCCTTGCTAATGACCTAATTATTCTAGTAAGGAGTGGTGCAGCAGAGGCGCATCTAAAAGTTGCAGGACACCGGCCCTCGAGGACTGGAGTTTGACACCTGTGTGGTACAGTATGTTTTC